CCCAAAACTGGATCGAATTAATGACCAACATAGCAAGCTATGAACGAGTCATATGTAGACTCTCAGGACACCAGGATTTATTCCTGAAAACATGGAGCCCATTCTTGGACTATATTAAAAGTGGACAGTGCCCAAGGACTGATCTCACACATCATGTAAAATGAATTTTAGTTACAGTTTATCTACTTACCTTTTATTTATTTATGTTAGTATTTTTTTTTAAATCATTTATTTATTTATTATTTGCTTGTCAAGGTATGTTGATACATTCAATTTCTGGCTCAGGTTTTTTAAAAATCTATTTTTAGTTCTTCTTAGCCATGGAGATATAGGGAGGGTGAGATGGGCAGGGGATATTCATACTATGAAATATCCTAGGAAATGTCTTGAAGTGTTCATGTTTCGATTAAATGTTGAACTAAAATATTTTTAAAAAATTAATAAAAAAATAACTCCTCTCCCACCATTAAAGCTGCTCTCTAACAGCCAGACCATGGAGCATCCAGCTGATCCTGCTGCTGTCCTATCACAAGTGTAGAGCTGAGCCGTGCATATGTAGCCTGTGGGAAGAAACTTGCTTTTTAGTCCTAATTTTGTGACTAAAATTTAAAGCCTCTTGTTTTCTTTTCTTTTCTTGTATTATCAAATTTTACTAGTGATTCTATAAATGCATTGTTTATGTCTGACAGATCTCTAACAATCATGGCTCTCTGTCCATTTACTCAGGTGACTGCTGAGTGGCCAGACCTGCCTAAGAGAACTTTGCAAATACATAGTTTAAAGCTAGAAGCTTTATTTCTCTTCTGTGGGAGCAAACGCATCACATGACCAATAACTAGACACTCAGGCTGACAAAAGCTAACACTACCTGCTGTACACAGCGTGGTGAGAGCTATGGAACAGCATCCCATTATAGAAACAGCAGACAGTCACAACCTGAGACCAGAGGATGAGCATAGTGGGCATTTTGCAATGAAAGAGCCAAACATTTCCTTTGGTAGAGACCTGAAACAGTAGAAAGACAGTGATGATTGTACTTCAATGCATCCCTTCTGAATCCATAATCCTGTTGCCCTGTAACTGCTGCATGGGGACCAACTGCTACATCATGTTTTGTGCTGCCCCCTAGTGGCTCATAAATTCAGTTATCAGAGTATTAAATGATAGGTTCTATCAATACCAACAGGTACATTCAGATAGTTTTCTGTTAGCTGTAGTCATCACCCCTGTTCATACTGGCCTCCACTGGTTTGATTTCTTTCTAAGCAATGACTTTCAAACTCCTCAGCTGTCTGTGTAGAGTTCAGCTGAAGCTAATGTGAGGTTTCAGTAGTCTGGATGAAGACTGAAGCCCTCTGAAGGCAGCCAGGCCACGTACTGAGCAAGGACGGCTCCAGAAAAACAGCACATGATCAGTAGGGCTGCAGCGATACACAGAATAGACGATTTGGTTCAATGCGTTTTCTTTTCCTGCTTTTTTGAAATTGTTTATTGAGAAATGAAATGTATGTGGTGCAGCTGTGTCACATGTTCTGCTGTGCATACTTGGCACCGTATAAAACAAAAACACTATAGAAATTAAAGCTGCAAGCAGCGTTGGTCGGGTCCTCGGTCTGCGTTGGACCCTCATGCCCGTCTGACCTCCATTTTGACAATTTATTTCCCTTCAGTAGACTTTGACATACTAATAGGCAATTTTCATAGTGTTGCTATCTGCTACGATTTTAGAGATATGTAGCTTTAAGCTGAAGGAGCCATTTTTCTCTCTCTGCTCAGCCTCAGACTGTCAGTGAGTCACATGACCAGCTGCACTGAGCTGTGATGATGTCATCATTCAGCATGTCCCTTGGTGGGAGAGCTGAGAGTTTTACTCGCTTTCTCTCACTTTCTCTCTCCCATACAGTCACAATTTTCACCAAATGTGTGTAAAAACAGCATATTTTTGTAGGAAATCTTGTTAGGAAGCCCTCAGTGTCATTTTTAAAGCTGTAGGACCTTTAGTTTTTTCTGTAGATGACCAACTGACACAGCATGTCAGCACATGCCCCCATAGACACCCATACAAAGTATAAGCCAAGGCTGCAACAGCTCATCAACTTTAACGGCTCACCATTCGAAAACCGGTTGAGAAACGCCAAATCCCTTCAGAACTTTTGTACATCAAGGCCTTCTCTGTCTCCTGTGCGATTTTCATGTTGGTACGATTTACGGTGTCAGACAAGATAATTTTTTCCCAAATGAAGTTTTCGCTCATTTTTTTACTTTGAAAGGCAAATTGTGGACTTCCTGTTGAAGATAGGTCAGGGGTGTCAGCACGAGATTTGTGGGTCTCATTGAGACGAACGTTTTGGTGTTGGTTTGATCTCTGTGCGACATTCCTACTGGGCGCTAGGGCCATTTTAGTGTGTTTTTCTGTAAGTAGGTGGCGCTAGAGAGCATTTGTGTCTTTTTTTTTTCATTTTATCAAATTTTTCGCCGATTCGGACGTGTGTGCCAATTTTGGTGAGTTTTTGAGCGTGTTTAGGGGGTCAAATTAAGGCAAACGCGTTGGTCAGGCAAATAATAATCGGAAGAAGAAAGAAAGAAAGAAACGCAGCGGGAACAATAGGGTCCTTGCCCGAAGGGCAAGGACCCCTGCTTGCTGCAGCAAGTAGGGGTCCTCGGACCCTAAAAATAAGAATAATAAAAAAATAAATGTATCTGATGGAGAAATCACCCATCGTCTGTCGTCCATTCTTAGCAGCAGAGTATATCATACAAATAAATGGCTCCTTACAAAATAAAAGCTCTAGGATACCCAAGGTCTGGGTATGTTGTGACGGGTGGCTATAGCTCTCGTGGTAGAGCAGTTGTCCTCTGATTGTACGGTCGGTGGTTCGATCCCCTCCACAGTGGAAGTGTCCTTGGGCAAGACACTGAATCTGAAGCTGCTCCCAATGGCAGGCAGCACCTTGCATGGCAGCTCTGTCACCATTAGTGTATGAATGTGTGAATGAGAAACACTTTGTGAAGCGCTTTGAGTAGGTTGAAAAGCGCTATGTAAGGGCAGACCATTTACCATACATGTATCATTGCACCCCTAATAATCATACAAAAAAAAAGCTTTGCTGCCACATCATCCATTCATCCATTTTCTTCTGCTTATCCGGGGTCGGGTCGTGGGGGCAGTAGGCGGAGCAGGTCATTCCAGACTTCCCTTCCCATCCAGGACAGTGTTGGCCAAATACAACCAAGTGCATATTGTTGGTGGGTTGCACTGTACTTCTGTATCCACCTGTTACATGTCCTGATGAAAGACAACATAAACGCCACCACGGTGTCTTTCTGTCAGTATTCTCAGATCAGCCTTGAACACATTGATGTGTTCCTCACACTGGACTCCTTGGATCAGCACATGGATTTGGTCTCTGGTCACTAAATTAACATCATGGACTTGTTAGGGATGTCTTCCCAGACGACAGTGACAGAGGTTGTGATTACAGAAAGCCAAACTGTCACCCTATCCTGCTCCAATGAGCGTTGCTCTAAAAAGCTATTCTGTTGCTGAGTGAACCCCTAAAAACACATCTTTGTGTATTAATGTTCCCAGTTTAAATGTAGTTATTTTTTCCTACCTTAAGATGGCCTCCATGAAACACCTGCTTCCTCTAGAATGTGTGAATCCGCTGTGTTTGGGTCATTCCTGATATAACTAAACCAAGAAGAAAAGAGTTCCCATCTGACGCCCTCAGAATCAGCAAATCTTTTTGTACAACAACTGCAGTATATTTGACGAAGCCATGTAAACATTTGTGTTCATACTATGAATATTTTTCCAGTCACAGGTCCTTGTAGTACATAGTAGAGTAATACAAACAAGCACTGGTGGTGCATTTTGAGTACATTTTCTAGGGTCATATCCGTGTGGGAGGTAGGTGGATGGACAAACAGGTTACAGTTGATAAAACGCCTCATGTTTACCTTCTGACACCAGGCCTTTGTTCTAGCCATGATTCTGTGGAGCTAAAACAGAGACAGTACAGGTCGTCATTGGAACAACTTTCAGATTTTTTTCATGTGTGTGCTTTTAAAGACTTTTTTTTTTTTTTTTTACAGGAAAAGTTTTTTTTTAATGATGTTGCAGAGTTCTGTTTTCAATGACAACTTTTTGTCCCTCTTTGGGCATGGAAGGGAAGACTCTGAGGGGAGGGGCCAGAGCACATCATTTACACATCATTTGCATATCGTGGAGCATGGGTCGTATTTCCTCCAGAACCTGCAGGTTGACTGACATGACCGCAAGTTCAGGCAACACAGTCCAGCCTCCTTACGCTTTAATATGAAAATAATGAATGTGTGTATATTTTGAGGTTTCTACGATTGTTATACAACCTGATGTAATGTTTTACATCTGATTTACTGACAGCTGTAGTTCATGAAGCAGTGGAACTGAACTGTCTTATCCTCAGTTGTATCAGTGGATGGACAAAAACAGAATCTGATTACTGAAGAATTTCTGAGCCTTGCCAAGGACACTTTTAATATTAACATTACTAAAATAGATGAGCCTACACTTCCTGTTCCTAATAATAGTACCCTAATATATGATTAATAAATAATATTTAAGTATTTAATACTGAAGGCTGTTATGCTTTTTAAAAAACATGGCACCCAGCGTTTGACTGTTTCTCTGGTTCTCTGAACTAATTAGTAGAAATTTATAACTGAATAGTGTGCATGTGAGTGGTTTCTACGCTATTGTTGGTTTGGTTTTCCATTTCCTGTGGACTGTGTTAGCATGTGATGGACACATAGACATCTGTCTTTGTCAGGTCTAGGATCCACAGCCAAGCCTGCCTTCTGTGTGACATGGAGGACCTGAATGTCCAGTCCTGGAGTTTCATTTATTGATTCTGTTTCATGTAAAATACAATTAAAGGATCAGTAATCAAGAAATGAACACAGAAATAGTGTCGTCTGTGTGTTTGTGTGCTTTATTCACATGTTTTTGTTGTTGACAGGTTGGAAGAATGCCGGAGGATGTATGATGTCTCCAGACCGGCCTGATGTACTCCAGTCGTCCACCCAGGCTCAGACCCAACTCATCTGGTGTGTTGAACAAATACAGAAGCCAAGATCCAGTTCTTTGAAAGACAAGAATATGCACTACATTAAAAAAGAAAAAGAAAAGAAAAAAGAAAAAAAAAACACATTGTGTAACCCAAATGCAGATTACCCCGAAAAAAATTGTGTGTTTTGCCTCTATTATACCTGAACCATATGTTTAGAGGGGCTGGTGGCTGGAGATGGTGATGATGATGGTAGGTTGATCATGATGACAACTATTTTTATGACAATCTATTTTTTAAAAAGTTTCTTCTAACAGAGAAGGATGGAGCGATGGTGTCAGACGGAGACCCTCTGACATGGTCTCTTTGTTATAAAACTTTATTGTTTCCCCCCGAAATAAATGTTAGGAGTTAACAATGTTTACATCACCCACATCTTTTGTACACTCATCTCTGTTGACTCACTGATTGTGTTAGTATTAATCATATATATATATATATTGTATATTACTTTTACAACCATTAGTATTTTAATTCATTAATGTGAGCCATGCTAATTGTAGTTTGTGGGTCCCAAACATCCAAAGGTACCAATCAGTGTGTAAAGGAGTAACCCATACGAAAGCAAATAATGGCCATACTGATCTCAATTTGTTTTTTAATAAATTAATTTGAAATACAAAACAATCTTGGTTCTTCTTGGTTTATATAAACACGTTAACCTGAATTGGTGCCAGACTGGGAGCTGATTCCACAACAGAGGAGCTGATAACTGAAGGCTCTGCCTCCCATTCTGCTTCTGGAGACTCTGGAACCACCAGTAGACCTGCAGTCTGAGAGCGAAGGGCTCTGTTAGGATGATACGGT